ACCGTTCTCGAAGCTGGGTGAGCGAGGTGTCTTCAAAGGAGGGGGAGAGGGTACGGATTTCTCTTGAGTACTGTACAAACGATTCGCATTTTTCACAGATATTCCCCTGATGAGGTGACAGATCAGTCAGTGACGCCTAAAAGGTCACCTATTCGGTCGCTGACAAGCCCTTGACCATTACCGAGTCCCTGAAGGTTAGAAGCTCAGCGGTATACAGAGTGTATTTCTGCCCACTCGTATGCCCCTGATAAACTTAAGTGCAGCACGCATTGGGGATGAAGATTTTGCTCTTTATCTAATCAATGCACCCATTTTCACAGATTTCTTCGGTAATCATATCAATTTCGTCTACCTTATCGTGCTGGTATTTAAGCGATTTCCGGTAAGGTTGAGCATTCTGCGATCCCGTCCTTCGGCAGTCCATCCTGCGACCAGTACAATGAGGCTTCTTGCTGTTGAACTTGGTTGGTACCTTCTTAGCCACGAAGATGGATATACGATGTGGGCCTGGCTTCGTCAAGCGTTTCGAGCCGGTTGCTAGTATTCACGTGAACGCTCGAAACTTGTGGTGTACAGCCAAGGCCCAGTCACGCTTGTTTCTACGATGTCTTGTTTTTGCAGCGCTCCTGATCATTGCACTACACTTCATCAGTCTACAAGGTCAAGATGACCCTACTCCAGAAGCCGATGCTAGCGGTGGAAGTGATTCGCCTGATGCTTCACAGGACGCTGGTGGTAGCAGTGATGCTACTGAAGCTGGCGTTTCTGGGGATTCACAGGAACACTGGTGGTGCGAGCGATGCTACTGAAACTGGCATTTCTGGGGATTCGCAGGACACTGGTGGTGCCAGTGATGCTACTCAGTCTGGCATTTCTGGGGATACACAAGATACTGCTGGTGCTAGCAGTGAATCTAGCAGTTCTGAGGGGGTTCAGGATCACAGTGCTACTGGTTCTTCAACGGATGCCAATGTTCGGCCTGTTAACCCTGATGGTCAAGTAGGTGGTACGACTACTGTAGAAGATTATCCATTCCTTGAAAAGCATGATGACATACAAGATGACCCTTCTGATGCACAGGCTCTTCCATTCTCGCTCACTTCTGGAATTTCTTTTGTGATTATACTTCATTTGTTCTTCTTCTTCTAGGATATTTCTCTACTGTTCTCTATCTGAATGTTTCTGCCCGTGTTCTCCTCGTTTGGCATTATTTGTGACATACGGCAGTAACTAATTTTTTTACTCAATTTCATTGTTCGTCTTTTTGTTGTTTTTCCCTGATAAAATTTGAAAGTGCTCGTTATGTACATCAGAACAGATATGCCTTATCAAGTCACTCGTAGCAGGAAAAAAAGGGCCTAGAATAGCTAAGCGAGCAACCATGACCATGATCGACGGAGTCGTTACCGTTGCGATTGATGGGGCGTGTCAGCGGTACTGGGCTTAGCACGCCGCCATCCCGCTTTACATTGCTGAAGCATTTGAGCAACA